ACATTGGTGTTTCTCTCTCTCTCTCTCCCCTCTCCACTTCTGCACCAAAGGGTCATAGGTTTGATTCCCAGTCAAGGGCGGGTTTGCTCTCTGCCCCCAGTCAGGGAGCATGCTGGAGGCAACCAACAAGGTGTCTTTCTCACACTGGTATTTCTCTCTCTCTCTCCCCCACCCTCCACTTCTTTATCTATTCATCTATTGATGGACACTGTGACATTATTTTCTAATGTGTTTGATGGAATGAAAATGTAGTGATTTGATATCTACTTTAACCAATTTTCTAAGAATCATAAGCTAGCTCCTCCTTAAAGATCTAAAATGCTATGTAGTCCCTTTTTCTTCTTGAATTACTAATTCTATTCTACTTCCCTCACAAGGTTGTGCTAATGAAATCTAGTTTTACACTTGAATGTCTTTTATTGAGCAACCAATAAAATAAAATTTGTGCTTGTAAATTTAAATGTTTAAAACTTCCTGGGACCAAAAGGAAGTTTTAAAATATATTACACATGTTGAAAGGCAATTTGTTATATGTGAAATTAAAAGGCTGTTTTTTACTCCAACTATATAAATTTATCTATAGATGAGTGTTACTTTGTAGAATGAATGAAATATGAGCACCATCAATTTTTTTCTTATTATTTATTTTTACACAAGAAAGTGCTGAGAATTATTTTCACATAAATCAAGTAGATGGTGATGGGAGGAGCAATATCTCTCAATTCTTTGAACTCCTGAGTTATTTGATAAAAATTATATATTAATCTATCATCAAAAATATTTTTAATAATCTCTCAGCAGATAAGCAATTAGGTCTCCTGTAAATTTTATTGAAAGTAAAGACCACAGTGCTAAAGAAATACCCTAGGGTGCCAGGCACAGGCATTGGTAGTAGTACATTTGAGCTTGATGACTGGATATTCCATCAACCATGTGCAACTCAGAAAAGGGGACAGTTGTGTTCATTTAGGGTTGAACTTGTGCCAGGTGTAGGTTAATTAAAATTCATAAGCAATACGAAATAATACATGGTAGAATCTAAGCTGGACAAAGAAAATGGTGAAAGAAGACCGCTGATGAACTGAGGAAAAGTGGAGGGGAGAAGGTAAAGGGAGGGCTTTTTAAGATGGGAGATTGATTGGAGTAGTTGAAATGACAAATAGGTAAAAGAAGAAATCGTGATTTGGGAGTTTTCGAGGTAGAGCAGTTCATGAACAAATGACTGAAGATGTGTTCATGGAAGTAGCTGGCCATGGTTTCAAAAGGCTTGTCCAGGTTGATATTATAAGGAAGGAAGAGCAGGGTGTGGAGTGGAGAGAAAGGGTGTGAGGCAGGCACCAACAGATTTGAACAATGAGAGAAAGGCTGGTAAAGGAGACCAACAAAAAGAGGGGTAGATGTTCTTGAAAGCTGAAAGGGGCAGATCTTAGAGGAGTCTTCTTTGTTTACATGAAGCTGAAGGAAAAATGGTTTGGAAATGGCCGTGGTGGGTACCAAAGGCATCACACTCATTGCCTGAGCCTGATGTCTGAACACCTGCCATTGGAGAAGCACAGGGGAAGCCATGTCCTTGGGGTAGAGCCCCAGCTACTAGGAGGGAGAAACCCAGAGCACATCTGAACGGATAGAGGAGTTTGGTGCTTATGGAGGGGCAGTAACAAGAGGTCGCAGTGAAGGGTTTTGGTAAGTGGAGAGGGGTGGGACGGAGCTCAGTCAGGGACAAGGAATACAGAGCTTTAATGAAAATAATGATACAGATCAAGATCCCTGGTGTATATGTGAGGAGCAGGTGAATTCTAGCTTGAGTGTCAACTGAAGATAACGGTAAAGAGGGTGGGTGGGTTTATACCAGCAGTCTTTTTTTTTTTTTTTAGAGAGGGAGAGAGAGAGAGTGAAACATCAATGATGAGAGAGAATCATTGATCTGCCTCCTGCTCCTGCATGCCCCCTACTAGGGATCGAGCCCATAATCCAGGCATGTGCCCTTGACCGGAATCAAACCTGGGACCATTCAGTCCGCAGGCCAACGCTCTATCTGCCAAGCCAAACCAGCTAGGGTTATTTTAGCAGTCTTTAAGGAGTTGGGTTCTTGCCTAACTACTAAAAATCTGTTATACCTTGATAGAAGATGTATCTTGCTTGGTCAGAATAATTGAGGCTTACATGTTGCAGACATGCTGAATTATTATTTTAATATACTTTTGCTTTTTATTGCCAGTATATCATTGAGATTATTTTTGCATCCATATTATGAAATAACAAATGGCATTGGCTTGTAATTTTCACTCTCTGTTTGTATGTATGTGTTTATGTATGTGTGGCATGTGCTTTGTCAGGTTTTGTTATGAGGATTATGCCAGCTTTGTAAACATAGAGGTCCATTCTTTTCCACGCTCTGGGGCTCTTTACCTAGCACAGACATTATCTGTTCTTTGTTAGCCGGAAAGAACTTGGCTAAGAAATTCTCTGAATGAGTGCTGTCCAATGCAGTATATTAAGCACTTGAAATGTGGCTAGTAAGACCAATGAACTAACTTTTTTATTTCTTATTTTAATTTAATTTTACATTTAAAAATTGATACTCATCTCAGTTTTGGAAAACTTTTAAGTGTTTTTGGGACAACCTGGATATGTGAGTCTACTTTTTGTAAATTACATAAAATCTAAATATATAAAATATTTCTCATGAAAATTGAGCAACTCAGTTGAAATATACTTTAAATGCAAAATACACCTGGGAATTTAAAGCCTGGAATACCCCCCAAATAAAATGTATAACTTTTATATTGATTTCAATTTGACAAGATAATCTTTTATCATGGCCATCTATGTTGTTTAATAAAACATATTATTAAAATTAATTTTACCTGTTTTGTCTCACATATTTAGTGTGGCTGCTAGAAAATTTAAAGTTACATATGCATTTGTGATGGAAATTATATTTCTATTAGACAGCATGGTTCTGAACCATATGGTTTCCTGAATTAGTAAAATTTTCTCAGATTTTTCTAAAGCTATTGGTACATTCAGTTTTCCTATCTCTCCAGACTAAATTTTGATAATTTATATTTTTCTCAAAAACATTTATCTCAAATATATTTTTAAATGTGGGAATATAGTGTTGTACAAATATTTTATTATTGATTGATTGCTTTAATATTAAATCAGTTCTGAGACATATTAACAAATTCTGTTTTTATGGTCCATTCTTTTGCACACTCTGGGGCTCTTTACCTGGCACAGATGTAATCTGTTCTTTGTTAGCTGTTTTGATTAATTATGTATCCGCTTTGATATTTATTTATTCTAGTGTATTTTTTGAATCATCGAATTACTTTTCCTTATTTGTAGGAATTAAATCTTCATTTCTCTTCTAAAAATAGTTGAATTTTTTAAAAAAGGATATCTTCAATGAATAAGGAAGTTTATTTTCAGTTCTATAAACAATTTTTTTTGCAGTCTATTGCCTTGCTTCTAATTAACTAGATTTATTTTATCTATAGGTGTGTTTTTTTAGTATTTCATGTTCCATGAAATGTTTTTTTCTCACAATATTACATTTAAAAATGAAACAATATTACATTTAAAAATTCCCTGCATATATGTTTCATTGACCCTTGTCCTTTCTTGCTTTGCAAACCATTTTCATAGAGAAAGCAATCACACTGTACTTTAAAAATGATCAACAATAGGTATAATGTTTCTAAAATGTAACATGTTCCAAGGATGTGCTAACTTGTTTGCTCAAATGTTCATAGTTAGGCCTCACAATAGCCTTGTGAAGTATGTGCTGGTGTTACCCCCTGTTTGCAGATGGGGAAACCAGACCAGAAAAAACTAAGAGACCCATTGAGGTTTCCCAGCTGTGGCCCATGGGCTTCAGACCTCATAAGTCTAACACGAAAGATCACTCTGTTTGCGTCTCCTACACAGCACTAGAAGAACATGGCAGGCACTAGTATCAGAACAACATCGCTCATGCGAAGACTCAATTGTCAGGCAATTATGAGCAGTTATATTCAGTGTTAATAAATTGCCCAATGATACACTACTAGGGCTAGACTTTAGTCTTCCATAATAGCCTCACAAAAAATCTTCTAGTCATCTGTAATTGAGGTATACCTTCTATAAACAATTGTTTTCTGTAATCATTTTCAGGGCTGGGAAAGAAAAAAAAATCAATTAGCTACTTTTAAAATTTTTTTATGGATTTTAGAGAGAGAAGAAGGGAGAGAGAGAGAGAGAGAGAGAGAGAGAGAGAGAGAGAAACATCAATGTGAGGGGGAGACATCGATCTGTTGCCTACAACTGGGATCAAACTCACAGCCTGTGTGTCCTGACCAGCCACCTTTGGTGGATTGGGGGGCACTCAACCAACTGAACCACACCGGCCAGGGCCCAGTTAGCCATTTTTCATACCCTGTATCTCCAAATTAGAATTTTGAAGCCATACTTACATCTGTAGAATGGTAGAAAAGAAGAAATATCATGCAATTTACTTCTTTGGTCAAGCAAAGGCAAACACCTGCCTTTTTGCCTCTAAACTCAAGCCCGTTTGGTATCAACTACCTTTTAAAATGAACTCAGCTATAGTATAGTCTCTTTTAAAAAGATTTAGATCAGTGGTTCTCAACCTTCCTAATGCTGCGACCCTTTAATACAGTTCCTCGTGTTGTGGTGACCCCCAACCATAAAATTATTTTCGTTGCTACTTCATAACTGTAATTTTGCTACTGTTATGAATCGTAATGTAAATATCTGATATGCAGGATGTATTTTCATTGTTACAAATTGAACATAATGAAAGCATAGTGATTAATCACAAAAACAACATGTAATTATATATGTGTTTTCCAATGGTCTTAGGCGACCCCTGTGAAAGGGTCGTTCGACCCCCAAAGGGGTCGCGACCCACAGGTTGAGAACCGCTGATTTAGATATTTAGTAGTGACAAATGACATGTCATTAATTTGTAATTCTTTCCTTTCTTTCTTTTAAAGATAGTGTTTTTAGAAGAAGCATCTCAACAAGAAAAGCTGGCCAAAGAATGGGGTTTCAAGCCATGTGAGATAAGAGAACTGAGCCAACAGTAAGTCCTAGCCAACTTCTCCCCTTTTGTGGATGCCATTAACTCGTCTCAAATGATAAGGAAACTGCCTTGAGAGGCAAAGAGGCTTTTTTATTTCTTTAAGGTTGAGATGGGAAGGGGAGGTAAATAGAGAACAGGGACAGGAGCTTTGAGTACTAGAGGCTGCCATCATTCATTTACTTCTTTGGCACATATTTGTTGAGCTTAGTATGTGCAAGAACTGGGATTCGAAGGTGAAAATGGTCTATAAAGCCTTTGTCCCCACAGTGTTTACAGCCCTTTACAGCCCCTGGGGAACACAGAACACAAACAAGTGCACAGATAGGGAAGCATAGCAGTTCCGGCTTGTGAACCTTCTGTAAAGGAAATAAAGAAAGAGGATGATAGAGATCATTGTTGGGAGGGTAGGAGAGAGATTTGGGGAGCAATAGCTGACAGCATGGTGAGGTAAGGCCTAGCTCTAAAAATGTATTTGAGCTGCAATTTCATATTCCAACTATTTTTAGTAGTTTTAAATAATTGGCTCAAAACGCGTTTCTTGTGATTGCCCACATTCATCGTAGTCTGCTTGATTTGTTTCATGGAAATGGAGATACGTTTTCTTTTTTTAACTCAACGATTTAATCTTGTTTCAGGTCACGTATATTTCCAAAGTCAGTGAAAGTTCCCAAGTCAATCAAAATCATTTTCATTCTAAAAACATTTAACTTGGAAAGTGACCTTAGAGAAATGTAATGAGAACACTGAAGTCGGAATTAGAACACGTGGCATGAATCTTCATGCTACAGTTTGTGGCTGTTAACTGTAATGCAAGCCACTTCCTTTCTCTGAGCTTGATTCCTGGGCTGTTAGCAAAAGGATTGTGCTAGGTCACCGTGTCCCCTGTAGCAGATCTGTGAACTGTGTTACCCCTAAGGCTTTAAGGCAGAAGGGCTGACCATAGTCCAGAGAGACGGAGGTAACTGGCCATAAAATTTTGTTGCATTTGCATTTATACTCACATCTCCTACCTCCTTCCCTCCCTCTGCTGCCTCTCTGTTGGCCTGCATGCTTGCAGGCAATGGGCATAGAGATGAATCCAGTGAGCATGGAGAGAATCCCAGTGACTTCTACTGTTACCGTCTGCTTCCTGTTGCTAGATTTTCATGAGAATATATGTTGAGGAAGAACTGGGATTCGAAGGTGAACAAGGCTTGCGTGCCTTGGGAATCAGAGATTAGAAGAAGGCTTGGGAGTGGATGAGGTGGAGGCTGGGAGGGAGGGAGAGGATGGTGAAGTGGTTGGAGGATGGGGAGGGGGCGAACACATTTGTGGGTCATCACATTTTTTTGTCCCTCCTTATGAGGCTGCTTTGGAATTAAATTCATCAAAGAAATGAAGATGCAAAGGAACCTCTAAGCACAAAACACCAATAAGAGGTAAGGTAAGAAAAAAAGGTGAAACTTTGGTGGAAGACTGAAGTCTTTGAAGAAAAATCATATATAAAATGCAAAGTAATTTACATATTAAACATGTAAGATATATGCGTTTGAATTTCTTTAAGTCAGTATTAAAATACCACAGAAGATGCTGTCTCTGATCTTCTGTTTCATAGATTCCGTGTATCTACCAGTATAGGTCTCTCTCAGCACAATGTGTATTTTTTTAAAAAACATGAAAATTGCAACTCTGCGCAGTGCCTTGGTAGGAGTGGTTCAGATTGTGGCCACGGACCATAGAGGGGTTGGCAGGGCCAAGATTAGGGTGAGACGAGTGAGGCATTTACCCGGGGCACAGAATTTATGGCGGGTGGGGTGGGCAAAAACTCAGTAATCAACATAAATATCAGTTTAATGCAATATTTAAAAAAATCAAAATTAATGCCAAAAAAATCTGTGATGAACAAAATACCAAAAAGTTTAAATAAAGATAGGATGTTGGTTTCATATCCTTGTATTTTGTGTGTGCTAGAAAAGAGTGGTTTTCAAACAGTCCTGTGCTCCCAGAGCAGGTTAACAATGTTGCTCAAAGAGATTGAGTCACTCGGGCCTTTATAGACAGTCAGTCGTATGTTTTAATTCTAAAGCTTTTATTAAGGTTTTCCACTTGGTTAGAAGACAGGTGGATGTTTCAATAAGCATATGTAGGGCACACTTTGTTCTTTTTCCTTCGGTTCTGAGGCAGCCTGGACTGCACCACAGGTTTGAAATATGAAATTGATGTTCTTTTCTGGTGGAAGTCTAGATTTGCTAAGGGAATTATGATAGTGATTAAGTCAGGTGAAAAGAGGACAGAAGAAAGGAGAGCTTTTCACCTTTTCTGCTTCCTTCAAAGTCGCATCTCTGCTGCCTGCAGCTTGACTTTTGATGGCTATGATTTAGCTGTAAGTAAGGGCTGGGGTGGAGAACTGAGTTCTAATCCTGGCTGGACCACTAACGAACTGCACGTCCGAAAATGACGTTGGCATCTCTGAGCTTCCTTTGGGGCTCTGTGACCTCTAATCTCACACACCCCACTCTAGCACGTGCTACTATCTGTAATATAAGTCCTGGACTAGACCTTGATTATGTGAATGTTTCTATTACTAAGCCTTCCACAATGCTTCCTGTGTCCTAATGTGAATGTTTCTATTACTAAGCCTTCCACAATGCTTGTTAAAAGGATTGTTAGCTTTTCTGGATGAAAATCACATTTCTGATGCAATAAGTCGCTGGTGTTCCGTTGCCTCGGAAGACTTTGCACCCTGAATTATCTCCTTTACTTCTTTTATCTCTGCTACCTTCAGAGCATGCTTGGGCTTCTCCTAATGGAAAACAAAATGTAGCTTTCTCCCTCCTCCCCTACATTACCATCCCAACATTCACTACCAAATATTTTCAAAGCAAGCTCCCCATCTGTCCAGCAGTTTCTCTGACACCTGTCCTTTGTGTTCATGGCCCTCTCCTCAGCTTCTTCCTCCCTTCATCATCTGTGATTAACCTCACACCAGTCATTCCAACTGGGGAGCTATCTCTCTCCTAGCAGAGCTTCATTTTTCTATCTTGATCTCTATATACTAGTACTAGATGAACTTAGTCGTCTGTTTGCATCAGCTCTAACTGGATGTGGGATGAACAGTTCAATCATGGCCAAGAGAAAACAAGATGTAAACATATGGAAAACGACGACAGATGCTATTAAATTCTTTTTCTCTCATCTTAATTTCCAGTGAGTTCTTCATGCCTGGGCTGGTTGATACACACATCCATGCCGCTCAGTATTCCTTTGCTGGGAGTAACGTTGACCTGCCGCTTCTGCAGTGGCTGACCAAGTACACGTTTCCTACAGAACTCAAGTTCAAGAATTTGGACTTTGCTGAAGAAATATATACCAGGGTTGTCGTAAGTATCCTGCTTGTGAGTGCTGGCGTATGATGTTCGGTCACCTGTAGAAACATCCATTACTTGGAGCATGTTTTAAGTATAGAACACAGGCAGGTAAGGCTAGAATGGGCTACAGAGGTTTATTTTAGTTCTTTCATGGCCCACTGAGTTTGTGACCACCCCATCTACACAGCTAGTCACCAGCAAAGAGCGAATTTGAGTTCAGATTCCCAGATTCCCCAATTAGATGGGCTCTCACCACTCTCCATCTTTTACTTTTTGTGTGTTACTTCACTAAATTTGGGTTTAATGCATATGCGTGTTCCCTTACTCCTGCTAATTCACAATACTGTTCTGGGGACCATATAGAATACCTGAGTAACCTTTGGAAAGTTCTGTGGCTCATCTTCCCCATCTGTAAGAGAGAGAGAGAGAGAGAGAGAGAGAGAGAGAGAGAGAGAGAATGATAGCACCTATTTCACCAGATTGTTATGATAATTAAGCCAGTTAATTTGTAAGGTTCTTAGAATAGTACCTGACAGATGGAAGGCGTTCTATTTGCTTTAAAAAATACCCAAGGCAATTAAAAATTAAAAATTTAAACTACAGTTAGAAGGGCGTCATGCTATTTTGGTAGCTTTGCAGAAGGGAAAATAGGATGGTCCCTTTACTGGGCATATGGGATTGTGACGAGCGTTAACACCACTAGAGGGAACTATGGGGCTAGTTCAGTCATTGAACAGTGGCTGTAGTGTGTGCCAACTGTATGTTGAAGACTCCAAAAATATCCTTCCTTTCACTCTCTCAAGAAAATCGTTTCCCATCTTTCCACCCCAACCCTATGCCCAATCCACTTAGCAGCCAGAAACAGCTTCTGCAGTTGGGAATTAAAGCAGCAAATACCTCATTATCTGACCACTGCCTCTTATCACTCAGTACGCATAGTCTGAATACTACTGCATTTTCTCCTAAAGTGATGGCTATGTGATGATGGCAATATTGTAAGCCTTATATACTAACCAGTTATCCTGCCAGTTTCCTGGTTTTGTGTCACCCAACCTTTGAAGAATAAAGCAAGTGCTATCGTTTATACACCTGCCTCACTTAATTATAAATTCAGTGTAATTGTGGGTTTTCATATTTAGCATGCATCTGCATGACACCAGAAAAACTGAGGACTAAAGCTGTGTGTGGAGCTGCATTGTGTTAATGAATTGTGTTAACCACACCAAAGCTTTTTATTTTCAAAATTTATTTATACCTTGCATTGCTCTAAAAAGGGTTTGAGATATCTTAAAATTGCATAGTATCCAACAGAAGAAAATGAGTCACAAAGGCATGGCAAAGGAAAAAGGGGGAGAGGAAAAATAAAATAAAACCAAGAGGTAAATATATGCCATGGGGATCCATGCATTTGTTAGAGTTTGTCACACATTTGGCTTTAAATGTCTAGGTAACCCAGAGAGAAACATCAATTTTGAATTTTATACTGTCTGTATGATTTTAAAAAATAAACAAACAGTTGTAAGGTAAAGCATATCTATTTATCATACTGAAATTTAAGAGAATTATGCCCAATATTCCAATATGGTTACATGCTCTGATGTCAAAATATATACTGTCAAGGTACTATAGTATCAAAAAAAAAATCCAGATATGTACATCTTTTATGTTTGGAGTTCTAGATACTCCCTCCAGGCCATACTCCATAAATTTTATTTCTTAAATCAGAGGAGATTGGGCAAGTTCAGGGTGGTATGGCCATAGACTTATTTCATATATCAGAGATTTGAGTAAGAATTTGATGCCAGTGAGTACAAGATAGGTGTTATTCTCAACAGGTATTTGCAGTTCACACATCCAATATTTCTGATTATGAGCAGGCCCGCACACTTTTGAGAATTGCATGAGCCAAGGTTATGGCTAAGAAAGTTCAAATTTGTTAACTAGAGCCTGTCCTTAGGCTGAAGACTGCCCAGGGCAATGGATAGGGGTGCTAGGGCTGCACCCATGAATAGAATCGAGACATTTTTGTTTTTTATTTTCTCCTTCAAAAAACAGTTCTAGATCTATACTTCAACAAATTGGCAATCAAGACCGCAGAGTTTTGCACCATAGAGTTGTTTTTTTCTTTTTCTTTTTCTTTTTACATCTATAGGTAATATTTCCATTGTCCTCATTGCTAAATAGCTGAAAATTTCCATTTTGATTCCATCTTCAAGCCCAGGTTTTAGAAAAGTGATTAAAATTTTGAGAATTTAGAAAATGTTTGCTAATATTTCTGTTTTAATTTTGAGTTTCACTTTACTCTGGTTAGCAAATATAATTTGTATGATTATTTTTCTTGAGAAATGATTCATTGTTTTTTTATGACCCAACAAAAGGTTAATTTTTATAGTTATCTGCACATTTTTTTAAAGATTGTGTTTTCTCTGTTGACATGACATTTTTTACATCTCTATTAGACTAAGTTGTTAAGTGTTAAACAAGTCTTCTAGCATTTTCCTCTATAGTAGGCAAGAATTTTACATACCCTCCCCTTCTTCATGTTATACCCTCCTGAGATTTTTGTTCCAGTTTATTTTTTTACCATGTGCACGTAATTTAAAATAAACTTTAACTTTTAAATTTACTATTTTAAATTTTATTTTAATTTAATTCCAGTTTATTATTTTTCAACATCAGCACTTAATTTAAAAATGAACTCTACTTTTGCTATTTGGATCCCCTGTCTTTCTTTTGCATTCATTTTTTTATTTTCTTGGAATCCTTTTTCAATAAAGTGGGTGATAAACATTCCAAATCCTTGAATTACCAAAAATGGTTTTACTTTCTTATGACTCTCGAATGGTGATGCACTTTCACTGTATAGAGAATTCTACTTGAAATGATTTTCCCATCAGCATCTAATATGCTGATGTCCATCTGATTCTCCTTCTATTCTGGCTAATTTGCTGGCCTTCAGGATGTTCTGAAATTTCACTTATAGATTTTTTTTCAGTTTATTACCTTTCATATGTAGTTTATTCAATATAAGAACTACTGTCTTTCTTCTAATTTGGGAAATTTATTTCTCTCTCTTTCTCTCTGAGTATATTCTTCCCTGCAATCTACTCTTTGTTTTGGTAACTCCTATTAGAAAAATGTTAAAGCTTCTGTATATGCTTTTGTGCTACATTCTTGAAGAACACGTAGTCTAATTTTGCAAGTCATTCACTCACTCTACTGTTATTATAGCCTGTCCTCTTTCAAGGACACCATGTCCTATTCTATTTATCTAAGAACTAGAGGCTCGGTGCACCAATTCATGTATGGCCAGGGGGAGGGGACGTGGGAGGTTGGCCAGCCGACCTTGCCCCCTGGTCGAACTCCTGGTCAAACTTCCGGTAGATGGGACAATTTGCATATTAGCCTTTTATTATATAGGATACTGATTTTATGTCTCTTGTTGCTTAGTAATTCAGCTTCTTCGGGTGTTCATTCAGTAAATATTTACTGAGTGCACTGAATCCAGACACTTTCAGAGTTGCTGGAAGTTGAATTCGATGTCTCTGTCTGGTACTAGCTCTTCCCCTGGACTTGTGATTCTGAGAGAGGGCTCATCCTCATTTTTAGCTGATGGGCTCTAATCATCCTCTATTAGCAGCCAGATGTATTTTATTCATGTGCAAAGTGCCTTAAAATTTGAAAAGATTGACATAAAAAAAAATCCAGCTTTTCAAATTCTCTTGACCTTTCGGACTAACCAACAACGTCACTGGGCTCATTTGCTTTCTTCAACATTTGGTTGACGCAGAGTACAGACTGCTGAGATATAGGGTATGCTCTTCCTTATTATTTAAGTTCAAAGTATTTTTTTCCCTGAGGGGTTTGCTTTTAATTTACCCTACAACACTTCTATTGACTTCCAAATTTCACTTATAAAATGTTTACTTTTGGAGAGCTCTTGTTCTTTGATTTTCATAGCATTCTGTTCTCATCTTGTAGATGCGATTATCTTCTTTAATTCTTTCAGAACGTAATCATAGTTTGTTTTTAATCAAGCTTCCTTCTGACTCTGTTTCCTCCATTATTTTTTCCAGACTTTCTCTCCCCCTTCTCCTTTTCATAGCAGCTCTCCTCCAGAGGCTGTTGAACTTTGAACATATTTATTTATTTATTTATTTATTTATTTTTATATATTTTTAATTGATTTCAGAGAGAAAGGGAGAGGAAGAGAGAGATAGAAACATCATGATGAGAGAGAATCAGTATTGGCTGCCTCCTGCAAGCTCCTACTGGGGATCGAGCTCACAACCCGGGCATGTGCCCTGAATGGGAATTGAACTATGACCTCCCGGTTCATAAGTTGCTGCTCAGTCACTGAGCCACACCAGCTGGGCCATACATTCACATTTAAGTGTGATGCCCTGAGATGTCGATCGGAAAGTCTGGGTGGAGGTAGCTCCTATTGACTAGTGAACTTCAGCTTAAGATGAACAATGAAAGAAGTAAATAGCCTTTTCAATTGTGGGCCTCACGTGTCCTTGTGAGGACATCTTTCTTGTAGAGCCACTCATCTTCGCCAGGGAAGAGTCCTTCAGTCTTGCCAGGAGTAGTGGTGGTGATACGTGTGGCCTTCTAGCAGCTGACCGAGGGCCCTGGAGATCAGCCAGATTTTCTCTTCAGCCTCTTCTTTTCAGACTATGCCTTGCCTTGTCCTTTGGGGCTTACATACTCCAAATACTACTCAGTTTCTACAAAGAGTAAATCTCTCCTGCAAGGAGCAGGTTAGGGGTGATTGGCTGATTTCAACAGGAAGAAGAAGGGTCCTGCCAGGGCTTAGTCATCTGTAGATGGACTTGGAGCCAATTTCCTGTTAACAACAACATGTCTCTCTCTCTCTCTCTCCCTCTCTCTCCCCCTCTCTCTCTCTCTTCCTAAGTTGCTTTCAGGTTCTCTTCCATATTCTTTGTGTTCCAAGGAGATGTTGAAATGTTTTGTCTGTTCATGTCTCTTCTTATGTTCCTCTTGATGGTGAATAAATTTTGTACTCTTTTACTATTATTTTAGTGGAAATTCGCTAAGGAAGAGAGAGAGATGCATGTGACCAATCTGCCAGCTTGAACGAGAAGTCTGGATGAATTATTTTACCCTGTAATAGACAGAAAAATCTCCTTTATTCACTCCCAGATGCAATAAGGTTTGCATATGCTCAGCCAAACCTAAAAGATAAGGAATTAATTAGCATCCTATTTAATGAATTCTGCAACATAGAACTATATGAATCTAGGAAATCAAAAATATCAACTTCTCCTCCAGCTCACACTTTTGGAATATCAGTACTTTGCCATTTATCTGAACTGTATTTCATATTGAGGTGTCATATCTTTAAATAAAAACATTTTAAAATTGGGACCTAGAATTCTATTTTCATCTGTATATGCCACGTGACTTTCTTGGCACATGTGACTTATGGTTTTTGTGGTGTATTTTTAGAGGAGAACACTGAAGAATGGAACAACCACAGCTTGTTACTTTACAACAATTTACACTGACTCATCCCTGCTCCTTGCGGAAATTACAGGTGAGGAGATGAAGGCACACTTTATGAGCACATCCAGGGAAGCCAGCCAGACCATGTCTGGCAGGGAGTTAAACTTATGTGCAGTCTTGCCTTTTAATTACTAAAATTTGACATTGCATTCCTTGCAAGTAATTAGGTGTTTTTGTATTACTGTGGCCCCTGGATGTTTTTTATTGTTTAGGTAATTTGATTATTCACTTATGGTTTTTGGTTCCAGAATCATGTGTATAGGTCTGAATTTTGTGTATTAACTTAGGGCTTTTGGGAGCAGGTTTATTAATTCTAGTAATGGCAACAGTTTATTATAATCAACAGACATATATCTTGGCTGTTGGTTAGACTCAGGGCACTGTGCAAATTGCTGGGAACACAAGAGCCAGATAGGACTAATTGATTAATAACTACACACATTGATCAGTAACTTTAGGAACAGCTGTAGTGCACTTTTTAAAAAATATTTTTTATTGATTTCAGAGAGGAAGGGAGAGGGAGAGAGAGATAGAAAGAAATATCAATGATGAGAGAGAATCATTGATAGGCTTCACACTCCACACTGAGGATGGAGCCTGCAACCTAGGCATGTTCCCTGAACAGGAATTGAACCATGACCTCCTGGTTCATAGATCAATGCTCAACTACTAAGCCACACTAGCCGGGCTGTAGCACTCTTATTAAGATGCCTGGATTGTGCAAAGCACTCCACATGGATTATGTCAGCTCAGTTGCAAACAGCCTTTTGAGGTAGTTATTGTGTCCCCATGTTACAGATGGATAAACTGATGCTCAGAGAGGCTATAAAACATGCTCAACTCACATAGGAGAGAGGATTCTGTATTTTTATTGGCTAAATCAGTTTTTCTGGGGTACATTTGTCACCGTAGCGTTCACTTACATGGACTGAGAAGATTCTCTGGTGCCTACTTGGGCAAAAGCACAGAAGTACAAATGCTTTTAGGTTTCTGTCTCAGTGAGGCTCATTTCTGATTATATTTATATATGCTAAACCAGTGCTGCAACTAACTAGCTGTAAGACATTGTGTAAATCATTTGACGTATTTGAGTCTTGATCTTCTCATTTGTTTAATGAGGGAGCAGAACTACATGCTTTCAGAGGTCCCTTCCAGCACTAAATGTCTACCATTCAAGAAAATGCTCCTTAAAGAAAAATTTAAAAAGCCAAGCTTATTAAAGTGTTAGAAAGTACTTAGCTATTTTTATAGGTTGGATCAAAAATATAAGCTGTCACTTCTTGGAAAGCTTTATTACCGCCACTTCTTAGCAAAGGCTGAAGTTTAATATCATTATGGTGCCCCTTAATGAGGAGTCCCTAATTTAGGAGGGTGTTCATGATAATGATCACTTAAAAAGATTATTACTGATTTGAGAAATGGTGCAAGTCTTAATGGATGCTGAGAATGAAAGCTGAGTGATTACTTTTTTACTGGGCTGGTGGTGTTGAATCATGTTTGCTCTGCTAATTGTACTTAATTTACTGTGCAGTGTTTTTTTTTTCCTCTCCTGTTGCTCTGAGGAATAGTGCTACTGGGCGAGGCATTGAAGTTGGAGCCTTTATTCACTGACTATCACATACGCCTTAATAGTGAAGGCATCCTGAATTTATTTTTAGGTAATTTGTTAGAGAAAGTGTACTGAAGTTAGCCTAGCAGTTCTGAATCTTCCCTCTGCACTGCTTCTTAGACATGTAGAAAAGTTTACCCATCTATACTAATAAAAAGGTAATATGCTAATTAGACTGGGTCAACCGGACATCTTCTGGTCGTCTTTCCGGACAAAGTCACGATGGCGGGGGCCGAGGCAGAGGCGGTTAGGGGCTATCAGGCAGGCAGGCAGAGTGGTTAGGGGCGATCAGGCAGGCAGGCAGGTGAGTGGTTAGGAGCCAGTGGTCTCGGATTTCGAGAGAGTGCAGGCCGGGCTGAGGGACCCCCCCCCCCAATGAATTTCATGCACCGGGCCTCTAGTCAGCTTATGAAATCCTAGGAGCTGCCAGTGTTGCCAATGGTTCTTTACAAAGAGAACGGATTGTTATTTCTCAAATATGGTTCTAGAAATTCAATGGGTATACTTTTTGAAGTGCCAATGTGCATTTCATACTGGGAGCCATTGGGAAGTTGGTTTGGTAGGAATTTGAGATTAAGAATAAAGGGAAGGAAAGAAAATAATCCTGATGAAAAAGCTACAAGGAACCCTTTGCTCTTACAGAGAGCTTGGCAGAGCACTGGGTTCACTCCAGGACCTGGCACTTGGGGTCAAGGAAGACACTCAGCCTTGAGTCTCTTTTGTGAGGGCGCCATGGAGGCTGTTGGCATGGCTGAGATAAAGCTCTTCTTCCAATAACCACATCTTGAGGAACTATACCTCAAATTACTAACCAACCCAAATCCTTCTAAAGACATCTAGAAGGTTCTGTTAACCCTCTGTGAGACAATTTGTCTGGTCTCAGGTATGGTTTTATAAAGAAGTTTTAATTACCCTCTGAAAATGAGTGTGGGAACACTCAGTTATTTACCTAATATCAATTTCCAAATCCTAGCTACAATGTGTCCAGTTCCTGGGGATGGCTTGTGATTGGTCCCAGCAATTATAATAACCTTGCTCTCCATTTTCCAAGCTTCCTTTGTAGCTAGAAGTGTCCATGTGTCCTAATTCTGGTCAGTAAGACAAGAGGAAGTCTATGGTAGGGGCACCTGGAAAAAGCAGATGTCAGTAGCAGATACCACCCCTTCCTGTTTTGCGCTTCCCTGAGTCTTCCTGCCTCTATCCAGAGTATAATGTCTGAAGCTACATGAGGTAAGAAGTCAGCAGGACGACAGGAGGGAAGATGGAAGGAGACCGTTTCTTTGACTTCGTTGCCCAATGAGTTACTCTGAACCTCCGCCCTCTGGACATTTGTTGTACCAGGTCCTGCTCAGTTGTTGACTTGGGCTGCATCAAGCGAGGAGCTATTTATTCTTCCCCAGTGGAGTCCATTATTGAAGCAGAAAGGGACTGACTTACATTCAGAGAGAAAGTGACATAAACTGGGGAAAAAATATGACCCCTGGAAACAAACCATTACCTGGTGTTCTGTTTCCTTTTCTTAAAGTTTCTTGATCAGAGTAGAGCAGGTCTGTGCCCTGCAGGTTTCGTCTTCTACTTATTTTCTACCCACCACATGAGGGTACATAAAGAATCACATGCAGTAAGCCCTACCAAGTATAATTATGAATAATGGGAGTGATTATGTATGTGCGCTGTGGTCACATTAACAACAGCCTGCTTTGCTCTGTAAGACCCCACTCACCTTCAGTCCATGAAGCGAAGCCAAGCCACAGGTCAACGGCTGGTCCCATGATTTAGGTTATACTCTTACTCTAAAGACTGTGTAAGATTGAGACACAAGACAGTGGATTGTACGGGACATAGGAAAGTCATGATCTGAGAACCAGGTGTCTGGTATTTCCACTAAGATTCATTGCCCGGTTTATCAGTGGCCCAGGCCCAGCATACTTGAGTAAACAGGAGTCACTTCATTGGCACACGGACTGACCTCACTTTGCAAAGCTCTCTCCCCTCCCCAGCATACCTTTGCAGCAGTTTCCTGGCAGATACTTTATGACATGTTGCCATGACATAAAGCTCCCTCGAACTGCGTTACACTGCCCAGAGCCCCAGGCTACTGGGAAAAATGGCAAGTGTTTGAAGTTTAAGCTAAAGAGTATGCTTTTAATGAGATCGTGTGCATTGCAGATCAAAAGCATCACCAAAAGGTAAAAAGTTCAAAGAGGCCTTTACATGCACAGGGAATTTGACCAAAGCAGCTTTCAAGATCTTTCCGATAGAATTTTAAAAAGCGTTTTTAAGTTTCTAATCCTGAATGTTGCACTTCTGTGGGTTTCCCCTTGACCTTTCATCTGACATGACCTTTGGTGGTAGGATGGGTCTATCAGCGGGGAAATAACAGTGCTTGGCAATCTGTGATGCTGACCTTACCAGGGTCTGTGAGCATTTGGGAACGTGGCCATTTGATAGGGTACTATCTCTTCACAATGTTGAGGGGAAAGCACAAAAGCCATAGCTGGCTTAGGAGAATTTAAGCTTTGCTTAAACCTCATGCACTTCATGAAACTCTCAGAAATCTTTTCAGTTAGAATTGAGGGAGGAAGGGAGCAAGAAAGGAACCCTTGCGAAGTGCCTAGTAGATAACAGGTGCATGTGAGGACTTTGATGCATTATTTCATTGAATCCTCAGAGGATCTTCGTGAGGTGGCTGTTGTTAATACTCTGTTCTTCCACTGAGATTTATGTTTTAACCATCAATACATTTATTGTAATTATCCTCGCATTCAATTTAGTTTGAAACGTCAGTCTTTAGCCTAGAACTGTGCGCAGTTAGAGAGCAGAGGCTGTGCTGCTCACTGCTGTCGTTCACGGCCACAGTCCAAGGCACATCATCTCCTTTAACCTCATAAAAACTCTGGGGGTTCGGTTTGGTTTTGCTCATCGCATAGATAAAGAAATTGTCCAAAAGGTTGGGTAACCGGCTTTTAAAATCACACAACCAGTAAGTGGCAAAGCTGAAACTTGAACCAGGCCAGTGAGTGTACACTCCACATGTCTCCATTGTGCGCTGCTGCCCCGAATCTCTGTGTCCTCTTAGAAACCAGAGCTTCGGTGCTTGTTTGACTGAGTGCACCCGCGTTGTGAGTGATCTGTTTTCCAACAGGTAACTCAGCCTTCCAGGCTCTGATCTCCTGATTGCAAACCCCCTCAACACCTTTTGTCCGCACTCACTCAACACCCTCCTAATTGCTCATCATTCGACTTGTGGGTCCAGGGCCGGCAGCATCCGCATCACCTGGACACTTCAGAAAGAAACAGGTCCTCAGGGCCTTGCCTAGATGTTCTGCATTTCAGGAACTGGGAAGTGGTTTTAATCGAACTTTCTAGGTGATCCTGATGCATGCTGACTCCGAAAGACGGCTTCAGGGGTCTCTGCGTCAAGGATGAACCATTCAATCTGCTCTTTAGAAAGCAGCTAGGGATTCCCCCCAAGTATTATTATCTATTTCTAGACAGTGTAATTCATTCTCTTACAAACTTCTATTCTGGAGAGCGGCAAGATGGCGGCATAGGTAAACACCGGAGACTGCTGCCGCAAACAACCACTTCAAAAATACAACTAAAAGACGGAACGGACATCACCCAGAACCACAGGAAGGCTGGCTGAGGAGAGACTCTTCAACTAGAAGGAAAAATAACAGCACACCGAGGCTCAGAGGAGGCGCAGTGTGGAAAATACTCAGGTGCGGAGGTGCGCGCGCAAAGCGGGCTGGTGGCTGAGAGCGCGGTTGTCGTTTTCGGTCAGGGGGGAGTCTCAGACTCTGAGCTCCAGATACGGGCGAATCGCTGGGGACTCGGACTCAAACGGGAGAAGCGGGAGTGTCTGGCATCAGTTGGAAGGCAGCTTTCTCTCCGAGGTTTGCAGCGGTTCCTGGGGTTCTGAGAAGCAGAGCCTCTGGGAACGGGACTGAGAGGGGCTATAACCGCTCCCTCCGCCCGCCCTGTTGAGCCCGCCCCGCCCAAGCCCTGTGCAGAGCCATTTGCCGGATCGCCTCAGGCAAAGGCTAGATTAGCACCTCCCCAGAGGACAGAATCAGACACAGCTGATTCACACAGCCAGTCGGCCTGGTGGTCAAATCCCTCTAGTATTAACTACAACAATCAAGGCTCAACTAGAACAAGACTGCGCACAAAGACCACTAGGGGGTGCACCAAGAAAGCATAAAAAATGCGGAGACAAAAAAACATGACAGAAATGGAGGATATAGAGCTAAAAATCGCAATTTTGAGGGCTTGCAAAAATGTGCTAGAAGCTGTCAATAAACTTGAGGAGAGAGTCACGAAAACTAATGAGACCCTCGATGCTATGATAAAGAACCAACTAGAAATTAAGCATACACGGACTGAAATAAAGAATATTATACAGACACCCAATAGCAGACCAGAGGAGCGCAAGAATCAAGTCAAAGATTTGAAATGCGAAGAAGCAAAAAACACCCAACCGGAAAAGCAAAATGAAAAAAGAATCCGAAAATATGAAGATAGTGTAAGGAGCCTCTGGGACAGCTTCAAGCGTACAAACATCAGAATAATTGGGGTGCCAGAAGATGAGAGACAGCAAGATATTGAAAACCTATTTGAAGAAATAATGGCAGAAAACTTCCCCCACCTGGTGAAAGAAATGGACTTACAGGTCCAAGAAGCGCAGAGAACCCCAAACAAAAGGAATCCAAAGAGGACCACACCAAGACATATCATAATTAAAATGCCAAGAGCAAAAGACAAAGAGAGAATCTTAAAAGCAGCAAGAGAAAGAGACTCAATTACCTACAAGGGAATACCCATACGACTGTCAGCTGATTTCTCAACAGAAACTTTGCAGGCCAGAAGGGAGTGGCAAGAAATATTCAAAGTGATGAATAGCAAGAACCTACAACCAAGATTACTTTATCCAGCAAAGCTATCATTCAGAATTGAAGGTCAGATAAAGAGCTTCACAGATAAGGAAAAGCTAAAGGAGTTCATCACCACCAAACCAGTATTATATGAAATGCTGAAAGGTATCCTTTAAGAGGAGGAAGAAGAAAAAGGTAAAGATACAAATTGTGAACAACAAACATGCATCTATCAACAAGTGAATCTAAGAATCAAGTGAATAAATAATCTGATGTACAGAATGAACTGGTGATTATAATGAATCAGGGACATAGAAAGGGAATGGACTGACTATTCTTGGGGGGGAAAGGGGAATGGGAGATGCGGGAAGAAACTGGACAAAAATCGTGCACCTATGGATGAGGACAGTGGGTGGGGAGTGAGGGCGGAGGGTGGGATGGGAACTGGGAGGAGGGGAGTTATGGGGGGAAAAAAGAGGAACAAATGTAATAATCTGAAATAAAGATTTATAATTAAAAAAAAAAGTTCTCCTTGTACCTCTCATTTCTCTTGATGGAGGCCACCAGTGCAGCCTCGGCGGAGCCCTGCTATGGATGTGGAGCGGGGGTGGCTATCATTTGGGACAAGCTCTTCTTCCATTGAACTGGGTGCTACAGAATATACTCTCCTTTGTCCTCAGCCATGAGCCATTTCCATGAAACCCAGCACTTCCACCCACTCCTAGAAAGGACTGTCCCCAAATATCAAGACATAAATTACCCAGATGTAAGATATGCATTCAGGGTATGCTACACATTCAGGGTATCAATATTTTCCTTATCCACTTGTTTTTACTATTTCCAGTATTCTAGAGTGAAGCCCATAGTGACACCACGCTTTACCCTTTCCTGCTCTGAGACGATGCTGGCCGATCTTGGAAACATCGCGAAGACCCACGATTTGCACATTCAGGTGGGTATTTTTCTCTTGCTTGTGCTTCTGCCAGACCTGCAAGGCTTCTCATTATCCTGCATTCTGGCAGTAATCTCTAATTCTACTGAGATCTAGAGGGGTAGCATTATGGGACAGGGAAGGTCCTTACAGACGTCACCTAAATCCAATTCTTTAACTTTTCAGCTAAAAAACCGGAAGTTCCTTTTCCTCTCAATCATCTCTGATCAGGCTTGCAGAGATGAGGCTATCACAAGTAATCCAGCAAGATCTAAGGCAGACTGGCTCCCTGTTGTCTGTAGGATACATTTAATGCATTTCTTTTCTGCTTCTCTTTCATTTGATGCTTTCTCAGCACTCGAGCCCTTCATTTTTGAAGGAGCCACCTATTATTTTAAAAGGAATAAGAACCTCATTTCCACCTTAACAAATGCATTTAAAAGCCCCTTTGTTCCAAGTTTCTTAATTTAAAACCAGGAACAAAAAAAGTATATATTACTTTGTCATTAAGCAGGTGCAACTTAGGAATAAAACATGTTTTAAAGCTTCCAGCTGGGTTAAAATTGGAAGTTGGGAACATCCAAGCTTCATTATATACTGCACTAAAATTTCCCCTGGTAAGAGTTGGCTATCTTATAACAAAGGGCAAGTCAGGGGAAAGGCAACACATTGATTCTTTATCATTTGTAGGGTGGAGGGTGGTGGTTTTTTTTGGTGTTTTTTTTTTCAAAGATTTATCTTAATGGGTCTCATTCACCTTATCATCATCTGTCTAGTCAGTTAAAGAAAAAAAAAAAAAAAGGAATAAGAACCTCATTTCCACCTTACAAAATGCATTTAAAAGTTTGTTCCAAGTTTCTTAATTTAAAACCAGGAACAAAAAAAGTATATATTACTTTGTCATTAAGAAGGTACAACTTAGGAATAAAACACGTTTTAAAGCTTCCAGTTGGGTTAAAATTGGAAGTTGGAACATCCAAGCTTCATTATACACTGCACTAAAATTTCCCCTGGTAAGAGATGACTATCTTATAACAAAGGGCAAGTCAGGAAAAGGCAACACATTGATTCTTTATCACTTGTAGGGTGCAGGGTGGTGGTTGATTTTTGTTTGTTTGTTTTTTTAAGATTTATCTTAATGGGTCTCATTCCCCATTCTCATCCTTCCCCATTCTCTTTCTGTTTGTGTGTGTGTGGGTGCAGCCTGGGATATTTAATTCCACAGTTGTAGGGGAGGGAAATGTTTTTCCTCAACCTTCTTGGAGTTCCTGTTTGGGTTTGAAAACTAAATGCAAAGATAGATTAACAGGAGGAAAGCATGCAAATGTATTTAATGTAAGTTTTACATGACACAGGACCCTTCATGGGAAATGAAAACCCAGAGAAATGATTAGACCTGAGTATTTTTGAACATTACAGGCTTGATGAAGAATGCACGGTTGTGGAGGAATATGAGAGGTTCAGGGATATGACCTTAGGAAGCTTGGCAAGCCCTTCTTGTTCGGTTTCTTCTTGGCTCCCTTTGTCATTAGAGATAAAGGTGCTCTTTTCCCCCCAGGTGTAGGGCAGGCACCTCTCACACGTGGGTTTTATGACCCGTTTTGGGGAAGGAAGGGTGAGAGAAGCACCAGAATGACCTTCCTGCTTCTGCCATTATCTTTACCTTAACATGGCATTTTTCAATATGCCAAGATGCCAGATTTTGGGGCAGTAGATACTGAACCCCATCAACACACAGCAAAAGCAGGTATATCCTTGCGTGGGGTGTATGTCTGTATGTAGGTGTATTTACTCAAATTTATCAAAATGACACAAATCAACTGGTTGTCCTTTCTCCTGGTGCCCATGCATTTCTTCAATGGTCTGGGCTTTCCTCAAGGCCAAGGATAGAGTTCATCCCATAGGTGCGAGACTACTTTTTAGAATATTGCTGGTTTTTTCTTTGATTTATTTGGCTATGGAGAGAGGGAAATGGCACTGCTATTCTTGGAAGTGGTAACTTGCTCATGAGTTATTTCCCATAATATATATGCACCACCAGTTGGCCTGAAATGACTTTTGTGTTAGGCCAGGGGTGGGTGTGGTTCCACTTCCGTGTTTGTCTCTGAAACACTTCACGTGCTCTCCAGTTTTGTGGTGCCTGGAGAGAGGCTGGTGTGGGAGCCGGGACTCACTCGTTTTGCTTGCATGTGAGTCTTCACGGGCTCTTTCTAGGTGACTGCAGGATTGTCTAGCCCAGTTGTTTTCAAATTGTTTTCTGCAGAAGAACTCATTCTGGAAGCCAAAAAAGGGGACAGAATGGAGACAGAGTCCCAGAGTCCCAACCCTGCTTCATTCTGAGAGGCAACTTGTTTATGCCTTTTACATCCTGGATTTCTATGAATTTTTATCATAATAACATGGCCAAAGCTAAAAGAAGTTGGAAAATTGCTTATCCAGCCAAACCCTTTTATTTGAGAGATGAGGAAATGGAGACCTAAATAAAAGAACTGACTCACCCTAAGACCCATGACTAGGGTCAGAACTTGGCCTAAAATTCAGCTCTCTTTATTCAAATCCAGTTTTCTTATGAGTGAAAGATGCCGTCTGTCCTGTTGATGGCCTCTTTTCTTAAAGGACAACAGCAGAAGAAATAGGTGGCCACAAATAGCTAGGCTGTTAGCTTTCTTTAAGGAACACTTTTTATTTTTGTTTGTTCTTACTAGAGTTTGGAATTTGAAAAGACCTTGTTGAAACATTACATGGGTTAGAATATTACATGCTTGTGTAATTACATATTCATAGTTTCTTTGTTACATGATTGCTTTAAATGAATGTACAGTCTTTAGTGTCTCTCTATGTGACCCCTCACATAGACAAGTAGAAACCATCCATACATTTTGGGGTAGGACGTATAATTTCTAGTGGCATTTTACCCTAAAAATAGAAAATTTTTTTTTTCTCGTAGAGCCATATAAGTGAAAATCCTGATGAAGTTGAAGCTGTGCAAAAGTTATTCCCCAGTTATAAAAACTATACAGATGTGTATGATAAAAACAATCTTCTAACAAATAAGGTAAATTGCATCTCATGACATAATCTGTATCAAATAGGGCATATATATCTGAATTCTGAGATCTCAGTAGTGCTCTTCAGACTTCTATGACATGTGCATTTCTCAGACTAAAGCTTAGAGTGTGCATATGTGTGTGTGTGTACATAGTTAAAAATGGGCCGGAACTCTCATCCTGGTAAATAAGTCTAAAGGCTTCACGGAGGGTGGGAATGTCATTTGGTCCAAGGACATTTTGTCAGTGTTTATTAGAATGTAACTGTACATTTCTTTGAGTTAGAAGACCATATCTAAGGATCCATTCTGCAAGAAATATGATTAGGAATGTTAATTACATATGAAAATTAAAAAATGGTTCTCATGGGGGATTGTTTAGATGATAGAATTTACATAATTATAGTTTTATCCAACGTTCACAAAGAATGAGGCATACAGGCTTACAAGGTGGATGTCTGTGTGTATACGTGTGGGTGCATGCTCACCTAGAAAAACTGCATGGAAGACACATATTGAATGTTAAAGGTTATTCTTCCTGAGGGAGAAACAGAAGGACTTTCTTTGTATTTTTAAACACCTTGAGATTGCTTTTATGAGTGTGCATTGTTTTCATAATTAAACCATTTTAAGTTCATTAAAATTAATGTGAGTGAGCAGAGACCTCATTAGAACAAGACACCCCTTGGCCATGGCCTTAGCTATGGCAGCAACTAAATTCTTAGGGACTTGGTGAATGGAGATGTGGCTATGACTAATTTGAAAGGCTAATATTCTGCATAAATCTTACACATGCTGCACCTTAATCTTCATCCTCCATAACATATATTTCCATATGATTAATACATTAACCTTCAATTTGCATGTTTCTTTGCTTTGCACAGAGGTTATGAAAATTATATTTTAATAATAATTATGTGGCCACCGAACCATGCCTCCTAAAGAAGAAAGAAAGCTAATCAGATACAGGTTTTGTACTGAGGACAAAGGAATTTTGAAAGAGTAAAGCCTTATTCAGGAAAACCCACCAATATTACCAAGCCTGAAAATGAAGAGAAGTCTCTTATGTGTGCAGTGCCTGCTTTCTTGGATCAATTTTACCTTCTGAATTCATGCGTATAAGATATTACATTTCTTAATTTTTAGGAAAATGTAAATAGAGGTGATGAAATAACGAAAGTGTGTTCGGTTATGTGTCAAGTCCATTGTTCCTATATCTAACTTGGGACAAAATTAAAGAACAACTCCTTCCAGGATCACTCCCCCAACTCCCATGTGCTGAGAAAGGAAAGCTCACTTCTAGAAAGCACTGATTAGAATAGGAACAAACACAGCCCCACCAGACACCCACTAGATTTAGAAAAGAAAGTAACTTGGTTATTTTCTAAAGTGGAGATGAAGGAATCACAATATCTTCAAACTGGATGGGTGTTCTATGCTGTAGATGACCTGGATTAACCCTCCTTATTTTATAGATTTAAAAA